TGAAATGATTTCTCATAATTAAGGCTGTGAGTGGCCATAATGTATCAGGACAATAGCTAATTCTGTTGTGCTTTAGAAAAGAGGGTACCTGAATTATCGATATTTTCTGGGTTTTTTCTTCTTTTCTCTTAAGTTTCCTATCTCCTTTCATTGGGAGTCCTCAATGAAAAAAAAATCAGTACTCTGAGCTGCTGGAGAGTTAACAGCCAGCAGTATTGTTTGAATGGCTCTATATTTAGTTGCAGATGGGTTTTGAATGTATTTCAGAGCTGGGGTTCAAGTGAATCCTTTTCCCGTGATCTCCCATAGATCCATGGCCTGAACTCTGCCATTGAATTCCTTTTCCACTGCTTTCAATGTTTTAATTTTGCTGAAACAGTCTGATATGTTAGCTGGACCTGATGGCAACATGCAGTCTGACCTAACAGGCATGAGACCATCAGGACCAGTTGTTGACTGTCTGTAAGTATAGATCAGATGAATTTCTAGAAACAGAAGTGGGTAGTAACTCTGATCCTGATGGGAACTGTATCTGGGTAGTCAGACTTTCAGTTCTGAGGCATGATAAAAACGTGATTTAAATAAGCTGCATTACCACCCACAATTGATTTATAAGGGGTGGAAAGGGACGTACATAAGAAGTTGGAAATGAACATGCGTGAGAAGTTTGCAATAGAAAGGTACTTCAGCAGTCAGGAGATGAAGTAGTTCAAGTGTCTTCCTGAGACATGTGAATCCCCTAAGGCAAATGTTTTTTGACCTGAAAACTTGCTTTCTGTGGCTGACTGACATGCCATGGAGTGAGCATTTCTCCAACCCACAAGGCAGAGTCACTGTTTGATAGAACAGGGAAAGAAAATATGGTGAGATATGGAAGTGATCAGGAATTAGAAAGGATATGTGTAGAATTTTAAGTATTTTTTTGTCTTAGTGAAAGGAAAAATTGGTACATGGTGGAGTGGGGCCAGTGAAGTCACAGGAGAGAAATATCAGTAAACTTTCTAAGCTCTTACCCCCATTTTATGCAAGTAAGATATCACTTTGATTCCTTGTTCATTTTTTTGGACAAAAAGTTATGAAAACTGACTTGACTGCAGTGAACAAAATCCCAATACCTTGGAGGAGGAAGTTCTTTCAAACACTAGGATCCCATGACATCAAGGGAAAGTAGCAGGAGCACAAAGAGGAGGGTTTGAGGCAGGTGCAATTGCTTCTCTGGGTATAGATGTGAGGGAGTACCAGTGACATGGCTACAGCCTCCTTAATCCCCTCTTCCCCTTGAATCTACACCCTAAAGGGTTAATAGCATCTTGTCTTTAATTTATAATGCTGAGAGAAAGACAGTAAGAGGATGAGGGAAATGTGCTTTAGTAGCTGACCAGTGTTTGCTCTTCAATTCCACCATTCAGTGGTGAACTTCACTGGAGGACCACAGGAAAAAAGCTAGAGGAGAGAGCAAAAGAGGGGAAGAAGAGACTTAAAGAAGAAAGAGAAATGATGGAAGAGGAGGAGGAGAAAAGCAAGTGGAAACAAGTCAGTAAGGAATGGTCAGAGGGGCTATTATGGTGTCTGTCCCAGCAGCAATGGGTCTGGGGGAAAAAGAGCACGATATTCTGTTAGGGCTTGATTCTGTTACAGACAGCACTTCACAAACAGCCTTTCAGCTTGGCTATATGAATGCCTAAAGCACTACTTTAACTTTACAGATCCACAAAATGTATAAATCCCAATCCAACAAAACATTTGCTCATATGTTCAGTTCTAATGGCATAAGCACTCCCAGCTGCTGTGACTAATCACATTCTAAGTGTCTGAGTTATCCCAAAAATGTGGAAAAGGATTTGATATTTATCAATGATATTTGTGTCATTTTTTTATTGAACAGTTTTGTGATTTAAAAATATATATGAATGGACTTTTCTAACACAAATTATTTTTTAATTGGGCAAACTAAAAGATTTTTCAAAAAATTATTTTGGAACAAAGTTTTCAACATTTTTTCTGGTTCTTGCCCAGTTCTTTCTCCTTCCTTTCCTACACTACTTATCCTATTGCAGTTTGGTGACTCTGGTATAAATTCATGAAATACTTTCAACCTCAGTAACTTTTTTTTAGAAAAGACTATAATGTTTTTTTAAAAATGAATTTAAGTTCTGAAAAAATGTTTAAGAATTGAATTTAAGGCAAAAAAGAGCATCTAATGGTGTGGAATAAAGTCAGCACAGGGAGATCAACAGAGGTGTGGCAGTTTATCTCCAGTGGATGCTAATAAAATGCTTCTGCTGCCCTGTACCAGTGGACAGACAGCATGTGGGACAAATAATTCATAGATATTGTAATTTAAAATGTTCTGGAGAGTTCTAAAATTCTTTTCAGTTCCATCTTCTACATTCCTGTGCCTTGTAAGGTCAGTATTTTTTAACTGTGTATTAGAAGTCTATCTTTGGAGGGTTAGGAGGGAATGAAAGCAGTAGCTGAGACATATTAAAGACCTTTAGAAGTACCTATTTTACAAGCATCAAATGTGTCAGTTTTAGGGTCTGAGATCATGGATAATAACCTTGGGCTAGAAATGGAGAGTCTTGTAGCAGTGGAAAATGTAAGCCTCTCTGTTTTAACTTCAAGGAGTCTCATGGTTCATAAGAAAACATACTCTTAAACCCTTTACAGACTTCAAGTTATTTGTGCTGAGCTTTGGGACAGTGTGATTCCTGTGATGAAACTCCTTGTTTGGAAAAGAGTACCATTTTTAATCGTGCCTATTCAATTCTCCCTAAAGGTTTGGATGGGACTGAGTAGTCCTGGACATAGATAGATTAGCAGGCAGAGTGAAGTAGAGACATGATTAATGCAGCTGCATTAAAAGATGCATGATAAATGCAATTTATCACATCACATATGTGCTCTATAATTTAATATTAAATAATAGAAGGAGCGTTGTTGCCAAACAATAGGAGTGTGGATTAGGGAGAGGGTGATTGAGGGGTTAGAGTTAGGAGTGATATATTCATTGATAAGAGTGTAAAGGATTATAATTGTAAAGGGGCTACTGGGTAATGCAGAGTAATCAAATATTGCTTCTTGTATTAAAGTGATTTATTGCTCTTTCCTGAAATTAAAGCTGCTCAAGGCATTTTATGCTTAGGAAACAATTTTTGGAAAGTACTTATCCAGTTTTAAGGAGTAAAATCATGTAGGGATGAATAACCCTACTCTACATATTTGTTCATACTCCTATTATGTCCCCCAATTTCACATGGGAAAGTAATAAAATAACAAGAGAATTACATTATAGTGCCTAAGCCTTTCCTCTACTTAAGTAATAAAATACTGGGACATGGATTTGTGGGATGTTACTGAAAATAGGTAGCAACTTCAAAGCTGTCATTTTTTGACCAGACAGTTACCTATCTGATATAAGAGAGCTGTATTTAATTGTCTCTTATGTAACTAGATGCAACTGTTTTACCTTGTTAGAAGAATAATTCAAACTCTGCTTTGGTGTTCTTTTGTTCATATTGTTAGACTTTCTAGTGAAAGCCAGGGCATATATTCCTGTTTTGATTAAGAGGTGAATGCTTTATTTAATTCAGAGTACAGCCTCCTGCCATTGTGTTGGGATCTTGAAAGCATAACATAATGATCTTTAGTAGCATTATAAAAGAATGATAATATGCCCTATTGCACCTTCCTTTTTATTGAGAAAACTTTCTTCTGCAGGGCAAACACCAAGTAGATGGAATCCCGCAGACTTCCTGGGCAAGGTCCGGTGGTTATTCTCCTCCCTTTAGGGCAGGGCACGGAGTCACCAGCTCTCAGACCACTAGTTCTGAAAAGCATCTCTCAGGCAGTTGTGCGCCAGCCCCTCTCCCTGTCACAGCCTGGGAGAGTAGCTTCTGTGATAGTCAGGATGCAGAAGTGTGGTGGCACAGGGCAGAGCAGGGCTGAGAGGGGGATGGGTTTTCTGAAAGAGAAATGCTGTCCACAGACAGCTGCTGGACAGCTCTGGTGTGAGGAGTCCAGTGCAGGAGGAAGAGAGTTTGGTAGAGTCTCATGGCAGGGAGTTTTCTCCTTCACGTGTTTTCTGTGTGGAAAACCTCAATGAAAATATAACACAGGTTGGGGCTTGTCTTGGAAGTAAAGGCAAAGACTTCACTTTGCAGCTTTTCAGAATATGATTCCCTTTTCTCTTACAGTTAATCTCCTTTGTCCACTGGAAAGCAGAGACTAGATGTTGCACCAGATGTATTGTTCTGTTGTTTTATCACTTCCAGACAATAATTTACTCTGAGATTTTTGTTGCTTTCTGAGACATGCAAACACCAGTAGGATGAGATTTTCATTTGGATACACAGGGAAAGACTCGTTTGATGCAAGAAGGGAGAGTTGCTTTGATTTTCACTGTTCACAGTGAATGATACAATATCTCAGGAAAGGAAATTTCCACTGTATGCTTTTGACATTTGCATAGGAATCCACAGGGTATTTTAGAATCCAGGCACTCAAAACTCCAAATGTGGCAGTTACAACCAAATTGGTAACAGGGAGAGCAGTAACAACCAAACACTGCAGAAAAATGTGGACTGTGCCTGAACCTGTACTTAGACTCTGATTTAGCCATAGCTGAGAGTCTTGGATATGCTCCTGCTCCTTGGGCTGGATCTTTATTGAGAAAAGTAAGTGTTGAGAAAATTTTAACCATGTAGGTTCCTATAGAAGGAGCCTAGTAAGGAATGCAAGTAAGTGAAAAAATCCCTTTGCAACACACTTCACAAAGTTTAAAGTGATGAAGAAAAGCCTTGGTAGCCTTGTTTTATCAGATTCAATGTTAGACTTCTCCAAGTTCTGCACCTTCTTTCATTTCCAGGGCTCTTATTCAGGATTTGGGTGCATGCCATCAGTTCTGGAGGGAGAAGAAACCTGGTCAGTCCCACAAAGTACTGTGATGTTCTTCTCCTAGGGAGCTGTCCTTATGCTCCCCTTTCTCTGAGCTGCTCTCTCAGCCTTGAGGCAAGATCTGGTCCCATCTGTCCTTCCTGATGCATGTATCTACTTCTTCAACCATGCCTTGGTAATCGCTCCTTTCGCCTTCTGTAAGAAAATCCATGTTTACAAAATGTTTATGGATGTAGGGAGACAGCTTGCAATGTATGTTTGGTCTTTTCATTACCTGTTGCTCAGAAATATTTATAGAATATTGTGGTATGACCAAGTTTGATTTAACATGAACCTGAGTCTTATTATTATCTTATTTTAAAAATAATATGTGTAGAATTGCCGTTGTACCAACCACAATACTCAAGTGGTACTGGATAAGCACAAGCAAGCACAGGCACAGTACATAAATGTAATGAACCTTAACAGGAACATCTTCAAAAACAGTATATCAGAATCCAGCTATTTTCTTAGGAAGGTTTTTGCATGATATTAACCTTTAATACACATCATCCTTTCTATAGGTTACAGCCAAGGAAGATTCCACAGGAGTGAAGAGGCAATGTTACTCCCTAGCACAGGTAATGCTCGTGCTTAAAGATTACTTAGAAATATATATTCAGTGCTTAGAAATAAGATCATTCTAACATTAGTATCTGAAATTATGACTCCATCTATTAAAATGCCTTTGAGGAGGTATGCCACCATTTCATATGACAATGCAGGAAAAAAATATTGCTACTTGATTTCAGGAAATGTTTAAAAAGACAATCAGAAATAATAAAAACCCCCACCATTTCTTTTGGTAATGCAGTATGATATAAAAGTTACAAATATCAACTTATTTCATTGAACATTTCAGGAAGTTATAGCTCAGCTGATAGTCTAGGGTGGAAAATAAATACAAAATATTAATTTAGAAAACCAGTCCATTTCAAAGAAATGGAAAATTATATAACTGTTATTTAATGGTATACTGAAACATTAGAATCTTCTTATTCACTGTTTACCTGGAAAAATTCTCCATTTCAGCTCTTGCTACAAATAAATGAAAAGAAGTTACCATTTGTCCTGTTTAGAGAACAATAAATATATTTGACAAATAAAGTATCGGTCTTTATTTGGATCAAATATGAGACAACAGAATTTGGAAGGCTTGGGAATGAAATTAAAATATATCATTTAAATAGCTTAATTGACTGAAAGTGTGAATAACAGATTGTAAGTATTTTCATAAATTCAGCAAATGTGCCATAAGTGGAATTTATCATTCAGTGAATTGATTTTCAAAAATCCTACCGAATTTGTTGTTTTCATTTTTTCTCTGAAAAAAACCCCAACAACTGAGTACCTGGGTACTCAATGCATATGTATACTGTGTTCTTTGGGGAACACAATATTTGTACAGTTATATACTTTATCAGAATGGAGCCTTTGAAGGTCCATCTATGTATCCAAGTGTGTCTTTATGTCTCTGCAGCTGCAGTCATCCACATATCGAACACAGTGAGGATCAAACTCTGCATGTCTGTCTTCAGTTGGCGATCCTCTCAGGTTTGACTGGTGGATTCAGAGAGTGGGATTCGGCCCCTGGTCAAAATACTGATTTGGCAATGACAACCCAGCCTTATTCCCAGGGTAAAGCTTCCTCTTCTGTTGCAGGCAGGGCTGAGCACTACATTTTCACTTCTGACTGCTAGTCATGAAGTCATGCATAACGTCACTAGAGGTTCTAGTTCAGATGCAAAGGTTAAATGGAAGGTCTATCCTTGCTTAAACCACAAAAGAAAATTGTTAGTCCTTGCTGAGTACTTAAGAAAGAGTGGCTTGTCATAAACACTCAAATCTCTTTAGCCACAAGATTCCTAGGATTGTTGTGAAAAGGCTGTGATGCAATGAAATAGTGGTAGCAAGTGACCAGTGAATAAAGGAACTGCTTTTACAGTGTTTTCTTATTGCTTCTGACAATTATATATGTTTCAATCATTAAATATATTCCATATGTCTTCAACCTCTTATATTGTACTTTTCCCATTAGCATTCCTGGTTGTATTATTGGCTATAGATTATATTTTATGCTTATGAAACACCTCACTGTTATTTTTTTCTTTTGATGATGAAAAAAGTAACATTTTAAAAAATTATATTGTTCAGATGCCTTTATTTGCAATTTATTTTCATTTTTATAAAAAACTTTCCATTGAGACCTTTTAGATTTTTACTCTCTTTATAGATTCGATATAGATACTATTGTATGAGCTTTCTCATGAAGTGAAGGTATGTTCTTCTTTACCAGACAGATCTAATGTCAGTTAAAAAAATATTTCACTCAACAGCTTAAAAAAATATCTTTCTTACAGAAATAATTCACCAGACAAAATTTTAATTAGCAACACAAATTGTAATGAATTCCAAATTACAGAAGTCTGTTAAGTCGCAGAAAGATGTGGCTACAATATTAACAAGACAATGAAAACTGTCAAGTGTTTTGTAATAGGACTGTTTGTGTTTATGTGTGAGGCAGAGGGAAATCGAGCCCTCTCCTTACGTGCAAATAGTAAGCTAAATCAATCCTGTTATTTTTATTTTAAAGCATGGAAATCACAGCTTCAGATGTCAGAAATGCTAACATGATATGCCAATCCAGCACTTGCAGCCCTAGAAAGATACTTTTTGCAGTTGTTAATCTCAATCTTGATATATCGGAACATTGTTATCTAATGTTTTTTTCAGAGTCGTCCACAGTTAAATACAACATGCAATTTATTGGAAGCTTAGCTTAGCTGTGCTTAAGGAAACATGCATTTCTTAGCTTCTGTACTATGGTCACATTTTCATTTAGAAACTCAAATTGGAAGGAATTTAAATGTTATGCTTAGGTATCATAAATAGAAAGCTTCTTCAAGGCATGGTCATACAAATACTGAATCTGTGAACAAGAGAGAAGACAATAAGAAGAAACATTTAATATATTGTACATTACTTCTTTTTAAAGTTTTTATTCCAATTCCAAGTAAAATTTACTTTTGAAGTGCTCTCTTTACTTTGGCTTCAAAGGTGCTTGTCAGATTCTGACTGTGCTCTCAGAAATGCTTTTTAAAGTTTTTCTAATAAAATGTAAAGGAGAAACTTCTTGGGACAAATGCAACCCTGGGAAAAAAGAAATTATTAAATCAAACAACAGATTTCTGCACACTGAAAAGGTATTGACACACCTACTAAATTATGCCTCGCTATTTTTTCATAAATTTCTGTTGTTTGGAGATCAAGCTTTGTATGATATGTGCATGGCTTTCAGGTACTCTTTTCTTTACATACCTGTTTCCTAAATTCTAGATATCTGCCCAAGACAGAATGGGCCCCTGCTCTTCACTTCCCTGGAGGCTAAAACATTTTGGTGTTTGGGTCATTACCAGAGGCCCAAAGGGAGAGATGAGGCCTTCTGCAGGGAGTTGTCCTGAGCAGTCTGTGCCAAGAATGACAAACACCTTGAGGGTAGGCTAAGAGAACTCCAGGCAAGGTTGCAGTATATACCTTTGACCAACCCTTATAAAGAGGACCAAGGAGTCTGAATAGTATTAGAAGGAAGTGTAGCTTTTGCCAGCTTTGTTTTGGCAGAACCTCAGCACTTCTCTCTGAATTAACATCACTGAGCTTTTGTCACTGAGGTGGACTGCTGGCAAACCCTGTATCACAAATAACTGTGCTTCCACCCACCCTGGAGTTCCCAGTGTTTGTCACAGAGGTTACTGGTTAGTTCTGTAGCAGTTCCTGAATTACTTCTGCTATTTCTTTTCACAGAAATGCGCCAAGAAATAGAATCCTTTACTCGTCAGGTTTATCATCTGAAACCGCCCCCAAATATTTACCATAATGCTGTAGTATCCAAACACTTTAAATAATTTAGTTATAGCTTAGATGGAATACATGAAGTTGTATTTATAGCTCAAAAATGTCTAAAGATGACTTGTGCATGATTAATATTATGCAGGAAAAGATGTTTGGAAACTTCTGAGCCAGATGTGTGTCACACATCTGTGCTTGAAAGGGGTCATCTAGAACACAGCAAAGCTGTTGAGAGGAATTTTCATTTGAATACAGACAACTTCTTTTAGTTGTTCTCTTCTGCATGTCATGCTGCTTTGAGAAGTCAAACAAATATAAAAGATATGAGGGTTTTCAGCATCTGTAGCATCACCTTACCTCTAAGCTCTGTGGAAATTCTCTCTGCAACTCTGGTTTTCAGGGAATTTGGTTTTTGTACATCTCAACAATTTTGTCTGAAAGAGGAGGGAATTATATCAGAAGAAAATTTTTTTGTATTTTTAGATCCTAAGCTCAGGAGAAAGCAGGAACTCAGGAATACAGATCACCAGGGTTTTGTGTTTAGTCTATCTAGCCCATGGTTTTACAGATCCTATTTTCTGTATGGAAATTTGATTTAAATGGTAATCCCTTCAGAACCTAATGCAACAATAGAACAATGATAGGCTGTTTGTTTATGGGCAGCCATGCTCAGTGAAATACAGAACTAGAAGGGGAGCTAAGAGTAATCCCTCCCATACTTAAATGACTCCATGTTCCTGATATATTGTGCATGATGCAGATGGGAGAGAAGGAGTGGACCTCAAGGGATTTATTTATCCTTCAGAATTTGGTGTGATTCCCTTTAGCATCAGTGGAGCCTGTTTTTGCAGAGGAAAGAGTTGACTTCATTTGTAATTAAAAGGACTGGTTTATTACTAAAATATAAAATATAAGGTTGGACTGAAAAATAAATTATAAAAGAAATAAGTCTAGGTATGTGCAATGCATTATCTGAAGGCTTGCCTGTGCCTTAAATATAGACTTCCTTCTATAGATGCAAATATTGTATGTGCTGAAGATGAAATAAAACCTAGAGGATCCTGTTAGGATCCTGTTATACTAACAGAAGGGATGTCCCCGTCATATAGTCATTCATTCTTCCCTTCATCTATTCACTCATTTCTAACAACGGCTGTTTCTGACAATTCTGTTAGCTGTTGGACTTTGAGGCAGACAGAACCTTGGGATGAATGTTCTATTAGACTTTTATTTTCCAGTCATTGAGGTAGATAACTGACAGGATAAAAATATTTTCTGGCAGTTTATTTTTCCAACTTTTTTCTTAAATCCTTTAAGCAATGCTGTAAGTGTGTCAGCTACAAACCTGATAGGCTGGAGGGGCATCTATTGTATGAGGAAATGGTATTTGCAAGTCTTAAGTGGTGCTTGACACCATGGTAAGAACAGTTTATCTTTGACTTCTGCTATGAAAAATGGTCCTTGTTATATGAGTGACTATACAAACAGGCTAACATGGTTTTGTCAAGCTGCAGAAAGGTGCTATTTTTTTTTTGCAGATGCTGTCTGCTTTTAAATTAGCCATTTAATGAAAGACTGTTAGCAACAAACCTTGACGGTGTATTAAGCATTCACAACCACCTAGATTTACAGTTTAAATGAAGTGACTATGTCACTCACAAAAAGACCCTTAGTTTAGAAGAGCAGTTTTTTCACTGTCTTTCATAAAACACGGTGCTGTTAATAAAATGCCTTCAGTCTGCAATGTAGGTCTTTAGGCATAATAGTAACAGAGAGACAGTTCTCTAAATTTATTTTCTAGATGGATGGATGATTTCTCTTTTAAAGGCAGCATTGAAATGGTCACCGTGTAAGGAAAAAAGAAGTAGCAAAACACAGCCCCCCTTTCTGAAGGATTATCTGCCCAGGTCAAAACACAAACAATGCCAAAGTGCAAGGGCTTTGTTATGCAAGAGGCCTATTGGCCATTTCAGACCAGCCCTCTGTGTCACCGAACCGAGTTGATGACAGATGGTTAGAGTGTCCTTGCGAATTTTTCACCTTAACGTGACAGGCTATATGGAAATGTCCTGTGATCACAGGGGATCCTCCAAATGTCCCTTGGTAATCAACACAAAAGGGAATAATTTTTAATTTGAAGCCTGAAGCAGTTTTAAAGATTTGTCTTTATGTAGAAAGTCTTTATACTATTTTGCAAGAACTATAAACAATGGATGAATACAATAGATTTCACATTGTATTTATAATAATTAACCTTTATTTGCTTAGTGAAGAAAGACAGTTTATAACATAATTCCACAATGGAAGTAAAACTCTTAAAAAATTTCAAGAAAAGGAAGCAAGTGATCAAACGGAAACCTGGAACACTTTGTAATCTGTATTCAGGGAATATATCCTAGTCCCATTTGCAACCTCAACAATTTTTGATCAAGCATTTTTATATTATGTTACCTGTATTCAAAAGATAGAATTCTTCAATGTTGCACTACTTTTCTTTTCAAAAGGAAAACATCGTCTGTGAATCCAGGGACAAACAGGGTCAGCTTAATTTATGCTCAACATTAGTGGGAATACTTGACAGATGAGTTTCAGTCCTTTATCAACTTTACAGCTGCTCAGGGCTAGAGCAACCATACCTAGTGGAGACTGAAACAGAGACTCAGCCTCTACCAAGGGAATCGAAATAATCAGGCAACCTCTCCACCCACAAGCAAAATCTCTGGATCTCCAACCAGATCCTGTTTTGTGTGCTATTAGCCTTGTTCTTCCTCTACTCTCATCCCTT